CTAAACACCAAAAACTATCACTAATTGGTGAGTTCAACCTTGGTGCAAATTTGGTTTGATTAAATAGGAGTATCATGTGCTCGCTTGGATTCATGCGTGACTCCGTCCTGCTGGTAACGTACATCATAAGAGTCAGAAGTTGAGTAGAGGTGGTAGGTTGGATGAAAAGAAGGTTCTAAAGATGCGAGTGAGCTGAAAATTTGTTCATAATGTCGAGGTTCTTCGTGGTATCAAACATCGGAGATTGTAAAGGAATGGAGTGGTTTTACATCATCACAAATCCAAATCCTTTTTTCACTCATGTGGCTGGCAACATCGGCATCTACAAATCACTTTCGTCCAAATTTTTCAAGGCAATGTTCTTGAGATGAATTGATGAATTGTGAATATCAAGGTGGAGTTTGCAAATCTTGTTGATGCAAGCAATGTTGCTAGAGCTTTGAAGCATTCGTTCACGAATTTGTTTTGGTGGAAGAATCGGCCACAGTTGATCACTAGAGCGCTTGAAATTTTGGCATCTCGATAGCTTATTTGAAACAATTAGATTCTGGTTTATACTTTTATGATTCTAGAACTCAAAGATTGGTAGACCCTAATGTTGATCCAGTAGACATTGTTTAGAAAACAATGGAAGCTCAATAATCGGTAGGCTCTAGAGATGATCTAATGACGTTGTTCAAAAACATAGTGGAAGCTCAAGGATCGGTAGGCTCTAGAGTTGATCACTTGTTACTATCTAGAAACGCTGGGGAAACTCAAAGATTGGTAGGATTCAAGATTGATCTAGCAGATGTTGTTTTGAAACGCAATGGAAGCTCAAGGATCGTTAGGCTCTAGGGTTGATGTTGTTTAGAAACGCAATGGAAGCTCAAGGATCGTATGGAAGCTCAAGGATCGTTAGGCTCTAGGGTTGATGTTGTTTAGAAACGCAATGGAAGCTCAAGGATCGTATGGAAGCTCATCGTTAGGCTCTAGGGTTGATGTTGTTTAGAAACGCAATGGAAGCTCAAGGATCGTATGGAAGCTCAAGGATCGTTAGGCTCTAGGGTTGATGTTGTTTAGAAACGCAATGGAAGCTCAAGGATCGTATGGAAGCTCAAGGATCGTTAGGCTCTAGGGTTGATGTTGTTTAGAAACGCAATGGAAGCTCAAGGATCGTATGGAAGCTCAAGGATCGTTAGGCTCTAGGGTTGATGTTGTTTAGAAACGCAATGGAAGCTCAAGGATCGTATGGAAGCTCAAGGATCGTTAGGCTCTAGGGTTGATGTTGTTTAGAAACGCAATGGAAGCTCAAGGATCGTTAGGCTCTAGGGTTGATGTTGTTTAGAAACGCAATGGAAGCTCAAGGATCGTTAGGCTCTAGGGTTGATCCAGTTGACGCTGTCTATAAATAAAGTGGAAGCTCAAAGATCAATAGGCTCAAGGATTGATCCTACTGATGTTGTCCAAAAATACAATGGAAGCTCAAGGATCGAAGTTTCTTGTGAAGGTATATAGTAAAAGGTATATAGCAATGGAAGCTCAAGTATCGTTCGGTGAGTTGTAAATCAAACATGCGTTGATTAGTGTAAAATATCTAAACATAATTATGGAGAGTGGCCAATGTTATTGTTAAATAGAGAGAAAATGAGAAATTTAACACGAAGGATCAACTACGATAAATGGTTGAATTTTGTAGTGAATTTTTTGCTCAAATTTAATAGATTTTCAAGTCTTTTTCGATGGTCATACATAGTGATTACTAACATAATCATTTTGTAATTTTCGTTAACCAAATTATAAAAAAGAATTATTCTTAACCCTTTAATTACCTTACCTTCCAATACCAATGCAATGAAACTAGAGTACTAAAAAGGATTCTCTTGTTCTCTCTTCTTTTGATAAAAGAAACAACTACGAAGGTAAAGTGACCAACTAAACAAACATATAGATTACTAATAACAAATCTTTAATAAGCTATAATCGTACAGTCAACATGTTTTAACTATATAAAACTCTCTCGATCTCTCCTATAAAGTTTAACTCTCCATAGTCACTTATTTATATAGAGGAATCAACATTTTAGTCATACAAAATTAATAGAATAAGATTAGAGAGTTATCAAGCTTGTTATGGTCTTTAAATGAAAGTTCCCCTACTATGAGCTTTCTCGTCTCTCTCCTTACCTTAGGTTATCTTTCTTAGTCCCTTTTTCCTTTTGATCAGTTAGTGAATCATGATGCTTCTTTCTCCTCCTCCTCTCTAGTTCTTTTATTCGTACTCTCTTATTGGGAATCTTTCTTCTATATTGTTTATTTATTCTCATTTAACGTTGAAAAGGGATTAGTCATCTACATAAGCCGCCTCCTATTGACTTGTCAATAATGTGTGTCTTACTGATTTGAATTAAAAATTTTGGATGTCATCTATGGGTCAGCATAAACATTCTACCTCTCCAAAATAACCCAGTTAAATTTACAATTAGGCTAAATCATGAATTGATCCCTTGAATTCTATGGTAGAATTTAGTAGTAGGGACCATTCATAATTGATTAGAACATGATGATCGGTTTAATCCTGTCCACATGTCACGATTGGCTTATTCGAGAGGAATAAAAATATAGTATTTTTTTTTTTTTTTTTTATCTTTGAGAAATTTTAAGCTTATAGTATGTATTTTTGTATAAAAGTATAGTTTTTACTTTTAAATAGAAAAAGGGAATGATGTACAAAAAGTGCCCACCATGACAAAAAGATTAAAAAGAAAAAAAATCAATGAGGCTCTTGTCTCTCTATGACCTCCCACTCGAGACTGCTCTCGTGTTCGACCAACATCTCATTTTTATCTAAAAAAACAGGTAAAAGCTTAAATGAGTAAAAATATTCAACAAGTAGTCTACTTGTAAGCTTTTGATCATATTCATAACCGATGTTAGGATACCACACACTAAATTTGACTACAATGTAGAACATGAGGGTTCTTTTTTGAAGACCCAAGTCTTGTCTAGATGGTTGCCTAGCTCTGACTTATGCACCTATGCACTTATGTGATCCCTTGTCATAGGACAAGTTTAAGGAAGTTTGTCCATTTCTTTTTTCACACACAAGGTATAACACTAGTGTTGATCCTTGCACACTTTTTTGAATTACTTGATTTTAGGTTATACTATGTATTTACTGAGTAAAACGTCCAATTGAAGTATGTAACATGTGATTCTTGGCTTAATCCTTCCATATTCACTTAATAATAAGTAAACTTAAATTTTTAGAGTACTTTTAAGAAGTATATCTTAAGAAAATATATGACTACTTACTCAGTCATGTTCGGGGTCTCAGTTTAAGTCCTTCCAAAGTTCAAAATCCTAAAAAAAAAAAAAAAAAAAANAAAAAAAAAAAAAAAAAAAAAAAAAAAAAAAAAAAAAAAAAAAAAAAAAAAAAAAAAAAAAAAAAAAAAATTGGTAGGTCTCTTATTGTATCAACTTTATAGAATCTTTAAGGGTGTTACTTTTACTAAAATTTGAGGATAGATCAGACAAATCAAGGCATGGCTAGTTTAATCATCTTCTTTGGAATAAAAATTCATTCGTGGGTCATAATTCAAATGAAATGAGGTAACTATTGAAATTGGGACAAAATATAGTCGAACGAAGGTCAAACGAATAAAAAAAGATCTTGGATGCGTCTTCACGAGTGCAAATGTGAAGGAGTACACACGACTTCACACACACGTAGCCACGCGCGCCAGGATGGTGTATGCGCACCTATTGTACATCACATTGCACACTTGGAGAGGTGCGACAAAATTAGGTTGGGTCAGGCGGTACTGAATCGAGTGTCACACGAGTTGAAGGGTTGTGGTCTTTGGACGTGTTGCTCTAATTTTAATGCCACACATGTCCACTACCAAACTAACTCTTATAGAAAGCTCACGGATCTATAGAAAAAGCGAGACTAAAAACATTCCAAAGTTAGCTTCGGTTTTTCCTTGGTTCTTAATGAAAAAAGAGGATCCAAACGCCCAGAAAGTCCAATGAATCTCTTGTGAACAACTCTCAACCTAAATCGGACTCCAAGCCACTTACTGAGCACATTTGGTCTCTTCTGTCTCTTCGGCATCGTGTTTAGAGTGAAGAGAACATAAAAGAAAAATATATCAAGTCCTTACAATTATTCTTCTCTTGCAACTATTTTATTTGGGAAATTACTATACTTTTTCATACCTAAAATTCAAACTTTCATCAAAACAAATGACTTGCTTCAATTATTATTTTTTCTTATTCAAATTCAACTCTTTTCCAACAGAAACTAATGATTTGGTTAATTGAGAAGGCATTCCAAAAGAGCAGATGATGAGTTCCATCAACGATGCAAACAACACTTGCTTTACCAAACGCCATCCCTTTGGAAACAAGCACCCTCAACCTTAAGCCTCACATTTATCTCACACCCACCTTCTTACTTCAAAATTACCATTTCTTTACCTTCTTTTTATTATATATTACACTAAATAACTTACCCAATTCAAACCAACCAAATCAAAAAATCTAGGAAAGGACCGAAGTTGGTTTGGGGATAGTTTTTCACTTTTAAAATCGAAGACCAAGTAACGTGTTCTTGACGTAGAAACACATAGGAATCTCTCCATTCTTAGAGGTGAATAGTAAGTAACGTGACTATGATGTAAGAGTACATTGGGATCATCAAATGTTAAATCCCGATAACAATTAATTATATCCTCATTTAAACACCAAAAATATGTATAAACAAGACCATTATTGGAAAGACTTGGTGAATCACAAAAGGTACAAAAAAAAGTCACTCTCATGAGTACCACACACACACCAACAAAATTAGTATGATTTGGTAAGACTTTCTTCCAAGGAACACAATGAAAAACAAACCCAATTGTAGACGTAGTCGTTGAACACTCCTCATCCCATTCTCCCCCGATCGAAACATCCCATCTAACGCCAAAATCATCGCCATATTTCTATAAACAACACCAACAACAAAACCCCCACATACCAAATTCCAAATATCCCAAATGAATTGGCTGCCTCTCGACAATACCCGTTTAACCTTCTTCAAATGCACCCGATGGCAACTAGAAGAAACATTAGACAAATTCACTTGCCCTTATCATTATTACTGCGACACCGTTTACCCCGGCGATTATCCCCCCACCATTGATTTACTCGTTCTTGTCTTCACGGTGGCAACTTACGTCTCGACCCTTTTGTTCATGCTGGCCGACATATGTCGTCTCGTGGGAAGAATTGTTTCGATCAACCAAAGAGGTTCCTTTTGCCATCTGGGCCAGTTTCTCTTCCGATTTTCCTGTTTGTATTGACCAAAGGCCATCGTATCAATACCCTTTTCCCTCTATTTCTCATGGGTCCTGCAATTCTTCAATTGGTTTACATCTCAGCTCTCACATTTGACAATAATGGAAGCGACAAGGACATTAAGTATGTGTTCTTTGAAGCTTCGACAATGTCTGGGATTCTTCATGCGAGCTTGAATTTGGACGCTCTGATTATGCCTTACTACACGGGGTTGGATGCTTTGATTGGGTCCAATTTTTCTGGGGAATGTCCATCGTGTGTTTGTAGAAACGAGCCTTTGGTGGTTGGGGGGAAGTTTGTGTCTTACAGAGGTTGGTCGGGTACTACGTTTGTGGTTGTGTGTGCTTTGTGTACGAGGATTGTGTGTCGGGTGTCGGGGGAGAAGGTGAAGAGAAGAGCTGTGGTTTTGAGGTGGGTGTTGGAAGGGTTGGGTTGGGCTTTCATAACGTTGGATTGTGTTTATTTGAGTGGAAATTTGGGATTGGAGAGAAGGGAGGTGCAAGGTGTTGCTTATGGTTGTGTGTTTGGTTTGGTGTTTGTTCATGTGGTCAAAGTGGTGAGGAGATGGCAGTTGATGTCTTATGTGGGGAATGATTATGAATTGGACCATGTGTAAATATGGTGCTTTTTTTTTTTTCTTTTTTTTGTGTATTTTGAGTTTTTTATTTGTATATAGAGAATGTTGTCTTAGGATGCCATGTGAGTGAAGCTTCATTGAGTTTTCTTTAAGTTCGTAACTCATTAGAACAAAATACATGAAAAAACTTGAATACGTACCAGACTCAATAAGTAATTTGCTTGTAAACTTTTAATCGTGCTCGTGATAGATGCTAGAGTACCACATTCTTTTCTTTCATGTTTTTACTCTTCTTATTCTTTTCTTGCATGTTCTTACTCTTGTCCTAAGAACTTAGGTTCTTAGGTTTTATCCTTGAGTTCTAAATTCTTATCATGATTCTGACTCGAGCACCTTGGTCTCGAGTTAGGTGTTCTTAAACTTGGTTTTGATCTAGGGATCTTGCTAGGGTCTTGGTGAGAATGTCCGCAAAATCCATCATAAGCTTAGAGGTAGAAACTCTGGTGAGGTACTCCTATGTTTTTTAACCTTCCTTTTAGGCTTGTCTTTAGTCTTTTTTGGTTCGAGATGGAAAGTTTGAAGTCTCATTTTTTTTAAGGCATATGGCCTTCCTCTAGGCCTCCTTGATTCCGATGATAAATCTAATGAAACTACCAATTTATAGGTTGTACTTCGTTGATTAAAATAGTTTTTGGTTTGTTGTTGAGTTAATAAGCATATTTCGCTTGTTGTTGCTTGTTTTACTGGAATCTTTTAGTCAATTGGGGTATTCTAATCAATATGATGCACGAAAGTTTGAGTATTAGTGTTCTATGATGATGAATTGAGTTCCAAGTCTCAATATCATGGTTAATATCATGGCTATGCTGCTTGGGACTTGAATATTAATTCTGTTGAGCTAAATGTATGTTGGTGTGCGTTTTCATCAAAGGTAAAGCCTGGCCCTTAAAATTATAATCTTCCCCTAGATGGATGATGTGGGTTAATCTTCCCGTAACAATCAATGCATGCTCTCGAAAACATCTTTAAAACGACACAACAAAAGATCTGAAATAAAATAAATAAGCGTTTAAGTTTAAAACATCCTATTCTAGCCTAAGTCTAAGAAAATAAATACCATTATCCTATGCATGTGTCATGATCTCGAGTTGCGATGTCGTAGTCAGTCGTATAGGAATGTCTTGCCTTAACCTGAAAAATATAGTAGCACATGGCTTGAGTATTTAAACAAATACTCAGTAAGTGACCCCGGGGTTAAATGCAACAATCACATGCAATGAAATGATGGGACCTATCTTTCATTTCGTTTCGTTTCGTTTCGTTTTCCCTATGGTGCTGTCCTAACGAGTAATCGTGGACGTGTACCATATACTCTACACATAGCCCATACGTGTGAGTATGGGCTCACCAGCTAGTTCGCACACTGCTGGGCCACTTTCCTTATCCGGTGGGCATACTCTAGGAGCCCCTTATGTCGAGACCCGTTAAAACTAGTAACCATCACGGCAGCGCTATGCAAAGCATAACAATCGTTGTCTTGTCATTGGATGTACGCGTCTGTACCCTCGTTATGGGATAGGGGCATCCCCCCAGATGCATGAACACACGCATAATGCATGAGGTCTCGCTACTTCTACATTTATCATTAATGAACCTAACCCCTTGTCATGTTCCTTGCTTCATGTCATTCTCATTTTCAATTTATGTTTCATACATATTCCTATTGGGGTTATGATTCCAAGCAGTTTACCATATTCCATGTCATACAATTCATGTTGTATACACACAATTTAAGAGACCTAACATAACGTTTTATGCTTTTAAAATAACATTTCATCATATACACATCATACCATGACATATTGCATCACAATGTATCATATCATAAACGAGTCATAACGTAAACACTTCATAATCATATCGTTCTCTAACTTATCATAGCCTTAGCGTTCTTATATCTATCACAGACATATCATTACGTGAACGTACCTTAGTTATCTCATCACAAGGACTTAACCTAACGCTATCGTTCTATCAATATATCACAAACCTATCCCTTTCTACCCGTAGCCTAACCGTATTCTTCCATCAATCTCTCTTATCCATATCACTTCGGTATGTAACCTAACCTTAAACGTATTTTACTTCTATCGTTACATTTCGTTTTGTGCATCCTTCTCGTATCCTATCTCAAACATATCATTGAACTCATCGTACCATAATTATTATCAAACAATTCACATATTATATCATATACATAACAAATAAGAAGCATATCGATCCACAAACAATTCACACATATCAATATATATGACATGTGCAAAACCACGGGGCACGTGTCAACAGCAAATATAACCATGTCGATAGTAAGGTCACTCACCTGGCTAACTTAAGTGGTTGTCACAAATATATCTTTAATGAAAGTTTGATTCCTTCTTTGAAATCCGAGTCAACCTATATGAGCTCATGACATCAGTTTAAGTTTTAACTCTATAAAAATATTTACCTAATTTACATTGGCCATAGTAAAATTATGATATTTTCTGTTAGACAAAATTTAAAGGAACTGCTCTATAATATTTTTTGTTTTATTGTTAAATATTGTTCAACAAATCTTTCCTCAATCTCCCTCCCTCTCTCTCATTATTTTCATTCTGTAAATAGGTTTTTCAATTGTGTAAATATATCTTTTAGTTTATAGATTTGTCAACTAAAATTTTATTGAATCTAATCTTATAACCTTATTTCTTATAACTTAAAATGCTAACAAAAATCTAATTAAGATATGAAAGAAGATTTGATCCTAAATTAATTTCTTAGAACGATAACTGCGGAAAAGGAAATTTCTTATAACCATACGTAAAAGGAAAAAGAAATATGAGATGAGATTTTACAGTAATAACTGACAAAAATTTCTAAATTTGCAATCTTGGTTAGGTTGAAAGTCATTTTACTTCTTCTCAAATCTGATCAGTTGTATTTTTTTTTTTTTTTTTTTTTTTTTTTTTTTTTTTTTTTTTTTTTTTTTTTTTTTTTTTTT